GCGCCGGCGGCGGACCGCCGCCGGCGCGCTCGCTTCGGCGGATGGCTGAGCGGCACAGTTTCTGGCCGCCCGGCCTGCGAGCTGTCGCCGCGAGACGATCGAAGGCGCTCAGTTCAAGCGCGCCGCCATGCCAGATCTCGCCCCACGCCCCGACCAGACCGGGCAGTACGTGCAGGAATGATGCAGGCATGATGGATGGGTGTGGTGAGCACGCCAGCGGCACCGCTGCGCACTCTCAGGGTCGCAGCCGCCTATCTCGTGAGGGGCGTGGCTCGGGGCGGGTGCGAGAGAGTCGAGGAGCGCGGCGCGCGCGTGCGCGCGCGTGGTAAAGTCGGTTTATATTTCATCACTGGTATAAAAGAGACCCAAAACGGCACGCGCGCCGCGCGCACGCGCGCTCGCCTCACCTCAACACTCTCACAGCAAATCAAAGATGCGGGCAGCCGCGCGCCGTTCGAGTTTCTTCGATCAACAGAGGGACGGCAGCGAATCTCTCCACGGCTCATGGGCTCGCCCTCACTGGCCCTCACTGTGTGTACTTGTTACGTGAAAACCCGCTGGGACCCGGACGCCAGCACACACGGCTAGATTTCATGGCGGGCCGCCTAGGCCCTGGGGTCGGAGGCAGAGTCGGTGGGGGTGCCGCGCGCGGCGCGGGCTTCGCTGTCGGGGGCGCTTAGGCACTGTGTGGAACGCTCAATGGTGCAAAAAAGGAAGCAGCCGAATGGCGCGTTCTCGCCCCCTTTCCTGTACGCGTGGGTCTCAGAGGACGAATGCGCACCGGGCCTTCGAGGACATCAAAGTCGGCTGCGCCCTACGGCCATCCCGCCGGCTCTCGAGTGTCGCAGCGCGACGCGCTTCACCCCTCGACTCCGCGCTGCGAGTCGATCTGGAGCTACATGCAACATGGGAGGGCTTCGTGAAGGAAGGATTGAAAAACATTCGAACAAAGAAGAGGCGACGGGAGGAACCGGCAGAGGATGCAGTGACGTGACACACACACACACACACACACACACACACACACACACACACACACACACACACACACACACACACCACCACTCACCCACGCACACTAAACCTTGCACTTTGAATACCGTGGGGCTCCTGTCGTCAGACGTGGAGACGCGAGGGTTGCCCCCCCTTGCCCCACCACCTCGTGTGTGTGGAGAAGTTACCTTCCCT